CATGGCAATATTGTGAGAGGCAGCGAGCAGCTGAGCACTTGAGTCACAGGAGTAAAACATACTCGAGTTAGTTAAGAAAACACTTCCCCAGCCCTGAGCACAACTTACAGGGATGTGCTGCAGGAGGAAAGGCTTAAGTGGCTCGAATAAGAGGAAGGCAGATGTGGATTGCTGTTTTTTCTCTCTGTTTCTGGAGCCCTGGGGAAATGCATCCCCCGAGCTTGTGTGCTTCTCCTCCTGACAGGAGGCAAATCGCCGAGATTAGGCTGTTGCATAAGTGAGTGAGCAGCATGAGTCAGGGGGTTTGGGAAAAGTGAGTCACGGCGTGGAGGGAACCCAGCCAGGGCCGGAGCTCAGAGAGAGACCAGGGGGAAAATATTAAGGATGTAAGAGCCTGACAGAGGGGAGGGCACAGGGAAGGCAAACGCTGTCCTGAGAAGAGGGAACCATCCACGAGGTTTAGGGAAAGCTAAAAAGCAGGTCAGGCAGAATTTTTGTACACAACTGGTGGTTGAAATGCAGAGGAGCTGCCAAAGTCAGCAAGGGAAGGACAGAAGTGTGTAAATCACTTCAGGAGGGAGCACGGGCACATTTTTGGAAAATGAGGGAATCACTGGGTATAGCCATTAGTGAGCCTTATGGAATTAGAGCTATGAAATGCCAGTGCATTTGTATTCTGAAGGAATCCAGGAGCAAGTCCTGCTGCCCTCCGTGGTCTCACACTAGTGCTGGAGCACCCTGCAACCCCAAACAGCTGCCTGTGCAGACCTTCACCTGCACGGGGGCATGGACACCAAAGCCTTCCCAAAGGAACTTCCCAGGGCAGCCCTGGAAAGTGCTGCAGAAGGCAGCATTTCTATTAGGATGAGTCACTGGGGGCTGGTGGCCCTATTTACCACACACAGTTGAGGATCTGATAAACATTTCTGAAAGAGCAGCGGGGCTTTACATGGAATTTGAGACACCGTGTCCTTAATTGTAATATTCCTCCTTCTTTCTCCATTGACTCCTCACTCAATTTAAGGTTTTTATACAGCAGCAAAGTCATTGCAACTTGACAGAGGCCACCCCACCCCACCCACTCTGGGCACTGCAAGGTTTGACCCAGCACAAACCTGTGGGAAAAACAGAATGAGGGTCATCTAATTGAAGACTCTCGTGACACTTTAATGGACCTGAATCCAGAGAGTTCTGAGAACTCTGTGCTTTGCAATCCCCCAGGTCCTTGACTCTGGAACTGTCAGTGCAGAATTCTGGATGTAACACTTACAAACAACACACTGAAAGTAAAGTGCTCAATCCTAACACATTTTACAACTGTTTTTATAACCAGAGTACAAGTAGACCCCATAATAAGTTGGCTTTTGAGTGGCCTAGTGAAAGACTACAGAATTATCTGAGTACAATTACTACAAAGATCAAGGCACTGAAGGGAACCCAGCTCCATTTCCATGAGATGTGGATCAGCATAAGGATTGTTAGGCTATTCCAGAGGAATTTTTCACCTGCACAGGCTCTAACTGTCCAGAGAAAAACTGGTTGGGAATTAAAATCTGAGCAACATCTTCCACCAGACTCAGAGATACAGGGAGTGTAAGAATTAATCTACATTTCACAGGTTGCATGCATCAATAATCAACAACCACTCAGGCTTTTTAACAATTTAACACAAACTTGCAGCTCTCATTTATCTGTGGTGAACAGCACAACCTTTCAAATGCTAGCTGAGATCAGAAAATACAAAGGAAAAAAAAGAAAGGGTAACACTAAAAGAGAAGATCACTTTTTATTACTGGTTACTGATGGAATTTATGTGGCTTACCTGGGTGAACAAAGGTATGTGTAACATCTAGAAATTAAATTTAAACCGAGTTGATGAGCAATGAGTTGAGAGTGCTTTCAGGTGTTTTCTTATCAGGCTTAAGGCAGAAGCTTCAGCTGTGGAATAAGTTGCTGCAACACTTATGGAAATGAACTTTATCACGATGACACCAAATTTGGAAAAGAGGATGTGGAGGAAAGATGCTCAAGAATGAGCTTGTAAAAGCCCAATATTTTCTTTCTAGATCTGTTTCTTATAGTGCACTCATCACTGTGGTATCTTGAGTGCTTTCCAGTAGTGCATTAAGCAACATGACAAACATCTGTCACATGTTTGTTCTCTCACCCTCTCCCCAGAGGGACAAGTGTGTGCAGCAGAGAGTCTTGTTTTAATTTTTTTAATTATCATAAACACACATGCACGTAACACATTATTAAACATTCATGCAGGAGAGGAAAGGTCACAGTCATCTTGCTCTCAGGATTCAAGCTGGGCAGCTCTGTGGTGTCCCTGTAAGAGTTTCTGTCACACCCTTGCTCCACACTGCAGAGTCTTCTCAGGGACCAAATCAATGTGCACCAGGCAGGAACCAAATCCATGGATTCCCAACGCCCTCATTCACTGCTCACACTTCAGCCCGGGGATTTTGCCAAGAGAGATCAAATGGAATGAGGTGGTAGAACATAAGGAAAAATATCTGCTTTGTCTAACCACCATCTCATTCCCAGATTGTGGCATTGGATACAGGAATGTTGCATTAGAAGCAGGAATTGATGCAGCTTCCAGATCACTGTCACAGACTCAGAGGGCACTGTGCAAGTCATGATAAACCTGAGGATCTAATGGACTGGAAAAGTCTGATTACTGGAAAAATAAGCTCTTACAATAATGAAGACCTGGGAGTTACTGATTTCCCTACGGAGGGGATGTGACTGGGAAAACAAGCTGGAACCATCAGCTCAGAGTTCAGTCAGCCCCTGCCCAACTGCAGATAACCAGAACACCCATGGACACAGCAGGGATCCCAGATCAACGCTGCCCAGGGAATCACAGCCCCACAAAAGCCATCCACCAACCAGTCACAAATGGAAGCACCACTGTGCTGATGTGGAGTAGCCACAGTGAAGCTCTTCTGAAGCCCACCAAGAATATTCCACCTCCTGACAGACATTTCCCTGGCATGGGGAAGACGGGCAGGACACACAGACACAGAGAACACACCACCCAGGCCAGGATCCTCACGGAGTAAGAGGCTTCAGAGAGCTCTAAAGGACTCCTTGGAACAAGTCTCAAGACAAGGTTGTTCTCATAAACCCAGATCTTTCTGGCCATAACTTCAAACCCTCCAAGAGTTTTCCAAAAGAGGAGGCTGCCAGCAGGCTAAAACTAATTTGGGATAATTGTTCCTCTTGCAAACTGAACTTACCATCAGGAGCAACCAAAGAGCCTGAGTGCACAAGTCAATCTAGTCTGAATCATTTTAGCTGGAGCAGCTTATTATTCCATGCATTTTAACTAATCCACCTTAAAAGGGAACTCACGTTGCATTTACTCATATATGAAGCTCCCAAAGATCGAATAAACTCTCTTTGTTCCAGCACACTCTGCAACAAAAAGGACTGGAGCTGTATAAGTGTTGAGCTGTTTTATTCCCAGCTTTTATAGGAATTAGGAGCACATGCAAAGCCCAGTGAGGTCCCTGCAAAGACTTGCCTTGAGCTGCCCTGTGCTTTGGGCTCCAGCGTTAATGATGTGCCAGGGGGGTAGGAGGCAGCCAGTTGTATTCCCTGAAAATTTGGGATTTTCAGGCACACCTGGGAATGTGCTTTTCAGGTGTCAGGACACAACAGTGAGCTCAGCAAGTCCTGCACCGACCCAGCAGCTTTAGGACTGACACTGGGCAGAAATGCAAAGCCCAGCCTAACAGAAAAGGGCTTTATTTTCCCCGTCAGATAAGGAGAAAATGTATGTAAAATATTTGGACATTTGGGGAAAGGGCAAACGTTGAGAATTAATTCAAACTGTTGATGGTTTATTTTTTGTTGAATCTTGTGGTCAAAATTGTTTTCATTTGTTATGAGAAAGAATCCATCATTTTTTCCAAAGCACCACCCAGAATCTGCCACTGGTGATGTTCTAACATCCCCAGTGCCTATACAAATAGAGAGGTCAGCTGAGATTTGTAAACTAGAGATCATAAGTTTTAAGGAATTTGTTTATTCAGCCTGGAGTCTCCAAATTGTGTAGGATGCCAAAATTAAAAAGTCATTTCACTGTACTGTGTCATGTTACAATAAAAAGCTCTCCAACATTTCTGGATGTTCAGATGAGAAAGCAAGTTGTAATTCATTTGTCAGCACATGCAGTTTAATTATAATTAAGTACCTCCAGCAGTTATAATGAATAGGCAAAATGAAAATGCTGGTTTATGCTTGTATAAACCTGCATTCAGTGTGAACTAAAAGCTGCCTGAATTACTCTGAGAAGCCCTTGCATTTTTAGCTGTGCTGTTCAAACACACGGAAACCGTTTCCAAAGGCTGGAACAGATTGACTGAATTAGGGGAATTTTCATGGGAATGACAAGAGGCAGATCTCTTCCTGATGGGAAGGCCACCACATCCCAAGTTCCAAGTCCCTGTCCAAAGCGTGGAGCACGAGAACCACGCAAGAGAGATCACCAGAGCCTTTTTAGTATCAGCAAAACAACATGTTTCTAACTCATCTTCTCCTTGAGAAAGGGCTGAACTACATCTGCTGAAATTTTCCAGAGTAATTCAACATGAAACATCCAACCACCATGGGGGAAAAAAAAAAAAACAACAACAAAGTCAAATTATTAAAATATGATAAAGCTGCAAGAAGTTCACAGAAAGTTTTAGGCCAATGAGTACAAAATATTAATGGTATTTGACAAATAAAAGGATTTGACTGTTTTAAATAACCACATCTGAAAATATCTACAAATGCAGTCCATCGGAATTCAAAGCTGTCAGAAATTTGGTAACATTTTAAATCCTGCAAATGGAGTAAGTGTTGAGATGACATCCTGGGATACATTTGAACTTTGCTGCCTTCACTTGTGGGAAACTCGAAGGCAAAGCATTTCAAAGGCTAAATATTGTAATTCATTTAAATACTAATATTGCATTTGCCTTTTTTTTTTTTTTTAAATAAAGACATAGATGAATGTGCAACTGGGACCCATACCTGTCGAGCTGACCAAGTGTGTGTCAATCTGAGAGGGTCCTTCACCTGCCAGTGCCCTCCCGGTTACCAGAAGCGAGGGGACCAGTGTGTTGGTAAGTGCTGCTCTGGATCCCTCTCAGTGGGTTTCTCTCATCACCTGTGGTAGAAACTTTCTGTTGATCATGAAGTGGGTGGGGGTGTGGTGTAAAATAGCTATTCCACTTGGGAATGCCACGGGATAGTGACCTTAGCACAGTCCTTAACCACTGAAACACGGAGCGAGGAACTGTTTGAAGCACAATCAACGCTTGAACTCCACAAGACGGATTTTCCAGTGTTTCCCACTGTGTTTATTGTTTGTGGTGGGGTGTTGCCTGATGTCCCAGGTAGTGCCATAGGTCTGTGATGGCAGCAAACCAAAGCCCATCCTTGCCCTGAGCTCAGCAGCAGAGCTGTAGGAGCAGCACTGCCTCCACCCAAACCTCATCCCTGTGCAGCCTGGCCAGGGCTTGATTTTAGGAGTAAATGAAAGAGATGGAAACTCTGAATGCAGGTATATGAGATTTGCAACCTGTAAACCCCCAGGCTTTATTCCCTGTGCCAAAATAAGCCCTTGGCACACCCTTGGGACCTGTGCAAGTACAGCATGAAATTAAACCCGAGGGCAGGGTAAACACGGCATCTTCCCTGTTCCAGCCTCATCTGGGATCCCTGTGCCAAAGTGCCATTGCTCTGCTCCTTCAACCTTGATTTAACACCTCCTCAATCACAATTCCAGGGCATTAATGGCTCCTCTAGGCACTGCAGCCTAGGGTCTGCCACATCATAAAAACAACCATGAACCAAGAGAGTCCAACATGTACATCACGAGGTGATGAATTCAAGACAGCCTCTTGTAAGACACAGGACACTGGTTTGGGGTTGGGTTTTCTTGCCCTTAGCAGAATTTGAGGTTTTCCTCTTTTTGTCTCGGGGATCCTGCACTTGAAATGCACAAGAAGTTGTTGATTTTTAGTTTTAATCTCTTCCCAAAAGGCCATACAGGTAAGAAACTGGGGAGGTTTTAGTACATACCTATTCTAACCTAAATTCCTGGGCATGGCTCTTTCTTCAAGGTTCCAAGCCAAGGGCTGTAGAAATAAACCCAAAAATTCTTATCTCTTTCTTAAGAAATGTAGATCAGGCCCTGAACTGTCAGACTGGTGTAAACACAGGTGTATCTGATTTTTCCCGGTTCCCTGTGCAGGAGTAGGATGAGGAATTTGGAATGGAGGTACAGGAATTGCTTTGCTTATTTATTTTTTTTTTTAATATCTGGGGTTTATTTAGGTTTCTTAGAACAGGTAAATTATATTACTGCCATGCAACAGCACTTCTAATAATAAGCCCCATGGTCCTGACTGAAAGTCTCACTGGACTCACTTTTATGCATCTAAATCTATACGTGAAGATGTCTGGAAAGGGAAATTTCCCTTCTCCTATTTAGGTCAAGCCCAAGGATAACACCTGTGTTACATATTACACAGTGACCTAAATTAGAAGTACATCCCAACAGTTAGTCCTGTCAGCATTTCAGAATAAAGCCTGTCTTGGGGGATTTTTCTAACAGCTCAGCCAGAAAATGTTCTCGGGGCCAGATCTTGATAGAGGTTCTCCATATGGGAGGAAATGTTTCTCAAATTTGAAAGAAATTTTTCCAGACTATTTTGGCTTCGAGGCAGAAGGAGGGAAAAAAAAAAAAAGACATTTTTAACAATTGGTTGATTTTAATCTAAATTCACTAATAATTCCTGTCTTTTTTTTAGATTTTTATTTTATTTTATTTTATTGCTCACACACTACCAAATTAGCCTTTTCAGAGAGAATTAATTGTTTTCCAGCATCACCTCAAACAGAAGATTTGGCCCAATGGATTAGATGATGCTCAGCCCTTAGATCTGCACAGAGCTGAGGTGCCCAATCCCACAAGGAAAACTCCCTCTGAACCAGAGCCAGATCCTGGAAGTATTTCTGTGTATAAATGCAGTGCCTAAGCAGCAAAGCATTGCTCATACACCTATATTGTATAATGCTTTTATTTTTAAGCAGTAATTTGCAAGAGCTTAGTCCTGTAAAAGTCCAGGATGGAAATCTACTGTGTCTCCTGATTTATTCCATTTCCACTTCCAAATTTCTCCCTCCACCACAAAGGAGTCACAGTGACAATTGCTACTGTATGGACAGCCAGGAATTTTTCCAGCCTAAGCCTTTTCATTCAGAACCATCCAAACCACTCCACTAAAGCTCAGCCCCAAACAGCAGCTGCAGATTTGACAAGGAAAGGGTTAATTTCCAAAGATGATTTTTTTTTTCACTTGATATTAAAACAAACACTTTCCTCATTATTAAAAAAAAAAATAAAAAAAAGTCTTGGCCTCTTTTTAAACACATCCATGGTGGAAACAGCTGGAGGTAGGAAACTCAAGATCTGGCATGGATATGGGAAGTGCCTTTCTTTGTTCCAGGGAGTGCTGGGATTATTTGTGTGAGTGTTGATCCTTTGAAATCTCCCATTGTGTACATGTTGGGAGCACGGCGTGGATTGCTCCACCAAGCTCCAGCAGGCCCAGCTAAGGCACCAGAATGGGATAATAGAAGTGTATTCCAGGCAAAACCAGAGGCAGCATCTCCTCCAGAACCCAGGGAAACCTTTGAAAACACAGAGAGGGAGAGGAATGGGCTGGTCCAGGTTGGTGTGGTTGGCAGGTGAAAGCCCTGCTCTGATGCACACCGGGAATGCTGACGCTTGGAAAGGCAGCTGCTCCGCCTCAAATCAGGGAGAATGTGGGGAAGGTTCTTACTGCCCGAGGTGCACAGCCAGGTGCTGGTACCTGGAGAGGTGTCCAGGACAGGCAGCAATGGCAGCTCCTTGGGGAATGAGGCAGGTTCTGGGGATCCCTGCAAAAGCACCACCTGTTTCCTTTCCAAGCCCATTAATTTTCTCTCCTCACCGTTCCCCTGGACTTGCACAGAAAATCTGGACTGTTCCTAATGGAGCTGCAAAGATTTAGTGTGTGCTAGGAGCGCTGCACATGAGTTTTTGGGAATGTGAGCTCCAAGCCACTCTCACTGTGCTGTCGGCACCGTGTCTGATCCTGAGGGAGCCCGGGGGAAAAGCTGAACCAAACGTGGAGTTTTACCTACACTAAACAAACCAGATCAAGCAGTACTGGGGGAGTGAACACAAAAATCAAGTTGAGATGTGCATTGAGCATAAAAAATTGTTTTAAAAAGACATACTTAAAGGGAAAAAAAAAGAGTATCCCTGTTAATATCCGTAAAAGCAATACCTAGGCTCACATAAGGTTTTTTCAAGCGCAGTTAAGTTTCCTGGGACACAGAGAGCAGCAGGGAAGGGCTGTGGCTGCACTGGAACTAACCCCTGTTTTTTGGTGGCACAGACATCGACGAGTGCACGCTGCCCCCCTACTGCCACCACCGCTGCGTCAACACCCCCGGCTCCTACTACTGCCAGTGCAACGCCGGCTTCCAGCTGGCATCCAACAACCACACCTGCGTGGGTAAGGAATGCCCTGCATGGAGTCACACCTCGCCTCGCTCAGGGACACAAATCCTCCCTGCCACGGCTGACATGGCAGCGTTTTCAGCCCGACTCGAGGGAAATAAAGAGCAACCGGTGACACAGAGTGTGGCTGCTCTGAAAGGCTCCTCTGCAAGGGATCCAAGGACAGGAGGGAGAGAGGGAAAACTGGAGCCTTATTGAACACCTGCTGTTTGGTTGGCAGGGAGGTTTATAGTCGCTATTTAATATTAATTAATTTCATATTTAATAGTCATTATTCCTTCAGTTTGCATTATCATTGGCTTCCCCAATATCACTGCCAGTTCACACACCAAAGGCTGGAACTGGCACATCAAGGGAACCAGGACTAAACCTCTGCAGTTAAGTGCAATGATCCTCAGCACGTGGGCAGTGTGGTGAGGAAAGAAAGCAGCTGGGTCACATCTGAATATCTAGAAAAAACAATGTTAAAAATTAAAACAAAGGTCGCCCAAAATGGCCTTTCAGCAGTGATCTTCCCCTTAGAAATAAAACACTAAGGGATGCTTGATAGTAAAACTTCAAGACTTGATGTCGAGTTGGAAATCATAGGCTCTGTTCTAGAAGGATTAGAGTAATGATAAAAGGGTAACTGTGTCTGGAGTGCAGAAAGAATGGCCAAAAAAAAAAAATCAAGAGATTGGTGATGGAGACGGTCAGAAGTTCTTTCTGGCTGTAATCTATATTTTTCCCTTCTGGTACCATCTGCATGATGTGCATTCTTTGCACTGTTGCCAGAAAAGAACAAAAAAAAAGGAAGAAAAAAATCTGTGATGAGTTTTCCCCTATTATGACTCCTTTTCAGGACTAGGATGTTCATCATACAGAGGATTAATATCCTCTTCATCGGTCTCGTTTTCCTGGGTGCCCAACATTTGTCATTTTTCAGTTGTATCTCTAAATTACACTGTTGCTGACATTTATAAGTGTTTGCAAAAGCCACGAGCTCAGAGGGTTTTTTTTTTCCAAATGAAGCTTCTCCTCGTTATCTGATAAACAAAAATGAATGGAAAACATGCAGGGGAGGAATACAAGGGAAAACACAGTGAAATCTATGGAGTGAATGGCAGAGGAGCAGCAGTTAATCAACAGCCTGTGGAAAAACAAGGCTTATAGATTCCAGAGGTGATTAGACTTCTATAAACTTCCCACTAAAAATTGCTTCCCTTCCCACAGCAGTGTCCTCACAAGTGCTCTGGGGATGGGCAGCACCACGGAAAACAGGCAGCACACAAACATATCTTCCCCCAACACAGGCCAGGCCTCAGAGCACTGCAAAACCCCACTGGCCTCCAAGGCTCGTGTTATAATTGCAATGGAATCTCAAAGAACCGATTTTAAGGGTAATAAATAGCTCAAATAAATCTTAACCACTGCATGCTGAGAGGTCTTATCAGTATGTGTTCCTTATATCAATTATTTATAGAGACTTGGCATTTCATACCTGAAAAAAAAAAAAGGGGCTGGAATGTGGAGTTTATTAGCCACACTAAACATTTTTGGGAGAATTCATCACGGGTTAGAATAACTCCCATTCCTGGAAAAATGCTCTTTTTTACATGGAATGTAAAGCACAGATCTAACACTGCTGCAGTGATGGCAGATCTCCATTGGGAGAGTCAGCTGAGCTGCTGAGCAGTAGGCCTGGCCTAAGGACTGATGCACCGAGCCTAATTACCACCCACCCAGGGTAAATATCTGTTGTTTTCCCTTTCAGACATAAACGAATGTGATGCCAATAACCCATGTGCACAACAGTGTTACAATATCCTGGGTTCTTTCATCTGTCAGTGCAACCCAGGCTTTGAGTTAAGCAGTGACAGAATCAACTGTGAAGGTGAGTGATTGCTTTTTGTGCCTTGGAAGAGCAACTTTTTGTCCTGGTTTTGTTTTCCCAGAAGCTTTTCTGTGAACTGAGGGACATAATTCAAGTGGAGCCACCCTCGAGTGGGTGCAGTTTGGAGCCAAAAAAACCTTTAAGACATTTATTTTTAGGGTGCAAATGTGGCTAATTCACACCTGAGTGGCTGCATTGCGGTACAGAGAGGGGTGGGTATCTCTACAATAAGTGCCAAACAAGACCTGGGAAACAGCTGGGAAGAATAAGGCTCTGGAGCCCTTATTTCCCAAACTCCCTGGAATTGTGTGTGGTCTGATGCTGATGACCACTAAATGAATTGGAAAGGAATGCAAACCAAAAACAAGGGCAATTCTCTGTGCTGTTGGGCTCCTCTGGAAACCAACCCTCCGGATTTCTGACGTGAAGGAAGCGACAATTGTGCTTTTGAGGTGCTTTCAGGCCTGTGTACACAAATGTCTCCTGATGATTATACAATCCACACTCCCTTTCCTCTGCCAGAGCCTCCACGGGGGTGCTCTAATCCCCTTTTGGACCCCGGTGATCTCACCCTGAAAGCCCCACGTCCTTTCTGCCAGCCTTGGAGCCAGAGAGGTCTCTGGTTGGGCGCTGCCCTCCCGAACGAGCTGGAAGAGCTCTCCCAGATGCTCCCTGGCCAAGCTGCTTAAGCTAATCCTATTTGAACAGAACAGGGAGCAGCAAGAATGCAGCCTCCAAGGACATCCCTGACCTCGAACCCAGAGCTGGGCTCAAGCCTCAGAGGTGGTAGGAGGGAGCTCCTGCTGTTTCCCAAGCCAATCCCCAGTTTTGGGAGGTTTAAATGAATTTCCTGTTAATGGCACTCGCCGTTGAAATTTTGTTCCGCACCAGAATTCTCTCACTGGGAAATGATGGTTACCCAGGGATAAAAAAGCAGGAGAATGGGATACACTGAATATTATTAGAAGGCAAAAACCCCCTTTTCCTCTTTTCCCAAAGAGCTACTCCATTAGCACAGGGCACAAGTACAAAGGCAACATTTTTGCCTTACTAACTAATCTCACATCTGTGTTTCTTTCCCCCTCAAAGTAATCCCACTTTGGAATACTACAAGTATACAAGGCTTTCAGGAGTTATTTTCCCAAACCTATCCTGAAGCCTAATTTAGCTTCTGCTTCCTCAAACCCCAAACTCTCTTTCTGGAAGGTTATTGATAAAACCCCAGCAGAACTGGCCTTTCCATCTGTCTTGGAGGCACTGAGCAGCACATCTGAGGTTTTTTACAACATTCTTTGTAGACTGATTTTTTTTTTTTATTTTGAAGCATTTAGCTGTTCCATTTAGTTGTGTAACAAGGCAGAAGTTAAGAGGCAATAACTGAGCTCTTTGCTCTCTGCAGACACTGATGAATGCAGAACCTCAAGTTATATCTGTCAGTACCAGTGTGTCAACGAGCCAGGAAAATTCTCCTGCGTGTGCCCTGAAGGATACCAGGTAGTGGGAGGCAGAACATGTCAAGGTAAGTGCCCTCACCTCAAAACCCTGCCTTTATTAGCACCATTTCAGCCAGGACTAAGAATATCCACTCTCTAAATGGTTATATTTCATGCCAGGATTATTATTTTGTCAGCAGAAGATATGCTGATAGAGCATTTGGTGATTATAAGATATTCAATTAATCTTATTTGAATCTTGCAGCTCAAACTCCAAGTCCTTCAGATTCCTAGGACAAAATTCCAGGGTTTGCAACCCCCAGGTAAAACTTAAGATGTCGAGGTAGTGGGTCCAAGTTTCAGAGTCAAACATCCCTCAATAAAATCAGGCTATTTTTTACAAACATGAAACATGGCTTTATATCATGTTTCTTTTTAGAGAGATTCCTAAATCCAGTCACAGTAGAAATTGAAGATATGTTTGTTCTGGTAACAAAAACCCAAAAAAAAAAAAAAAAAATGCAAGCCTTCAGCAGCTTAGA